TCTATCGGGCTATTCACCTCTCCTATATCCTCGTATCACTTGTCTCTTTGACGAGTTGTAGTATGATGCAAGACTCACTGACGATGCCGGCGAAACGTCTGGGAATGTACCACGTCCACAGGCAGACTTTGGAAATTATCATGCATACAAAGGACTCTGGACTGGGTGCGTTCATCTAAGTATTTCTACCAATATGACCAAGTTGCAAAAACAAGGTCAAACAACTTCTATGCAACGAAAGGAGACTGCAACCAAACAAAAGGCCACACCGTCTTGGTCTTATATCTTCGATTAATGAGAATAAAGCTAACTTTTCTTCAACAACTTTTTTCCATTACATTAATGCTCGGATGAATCTGGTTTTTTGGCGCAGCTCATTGAGGGCTCAAGTCGCAAGCACCCAAAGTCGAAAGTTGAAATTCCCTCATAATCCTGACGAGAAAATCTAAGACATTTTAAATTACAGGCGTTAGTATGTAGCAAACTTCACAAGCGGACTAGTAAGAAGCTTAACCCATCTTCGGCTTGATCGCGTTTTACAACCTGGTCGGGAAACAAGACAGACACCCGATCCTGCCTCCTGACCAAGTTGGAAAAGCGAGGTCAGACCAGCAATACACAAATATACGAGATGCATTCACCCTATTTTGTTTAAAACGATGAAATGCTAGTAGTTTTTGAATCTTCCTACAACGATATGAGCAGAACTGACGGTTCCATTAAATTTGACAGCTTCACCCAGGGCTTATCAACAGGTGAGGTCGAAATTGCAGTCCACCATGGATAGGAAAGCCTTCATAACGAAATAGGATGAATCCAACTGATATAACTGATGTACTGAGTCCCGAAACCATACTTGAGAGAAAAATTACAGACCGCGACCAAACTTAAGGACACGCCATGCTGGCCATCGTGTCTACGATTAGTAAGCCTTAATTCATCTCCCTAATCGTGACGAATTTTGAGGGAAAATTCGGATGGTTTACCCAGTGCCGTATCATTACATATACAACCGCAGCAGATCAGATCTACTACCAATTGGCGAGATTACGAAGACGAACCGTGCTAAACATTGGGCAAGAACTTTTTGGTTGAAAATTAGTAATCCAGTGATCATAGCGCTTAAACCATAATGATAGCATTCTACCTCATCATAACTACTTTCCTTTGCACATGCACAGAGCACACCAGTATGAAGCAGTTAGGTCCGAGGCTGTAAAAGATTGTGATTGAATAAAAGATCTAGGCATAATATAAAATAAGCTCTTGCTTGGCGGAACTTATTAGGAACTCATGCGTACCGATCGAAAAGATTACACTGGATTCCTGGTTATTGCGCGAAAAAGCACCAAGTCTTCCATCATTTTTTTATTCTAAACAAAATTACCAAAGTCACCTATTTCCCAAAACAGCTAAGAAACAAGTAATTTGTTGCTTATTTATTCTGACAAGAAAGAAGAAGCAACTATAATGTAAAATAGTCTAAATTGAATAAAGTTAATCGGAAACGAGTATAAAACCGAAAAAATTGTGAAGCAGTGAGAACAAAAATATATACTGATAGTAAATTACAGATCAAAAGCATCCTAATTTTTTCCTAAGCCCTATTCTTATGCGATCATCAAGGGGACTGTGATTCAATAGGATTCAGATAGTGGAGAAAATAAAGATAAAAAAATTTAGCCCAGTGTCTTTGATTTTCGCTTCTCCTTTTTCAGCCATTTGGGCCATAACTTGCGATGCTTCAAAGGAGGATCCGGGCGTACAAATCTAGCCGGAGAGGAAAGGCGAACAGGAGCCTGATTGACAAGAGCAGACGTTTGTGATTTAAGGCAATGATTCGAGTGATCACTAGACACGAAAAAGGAAGGCGGAATAGCACCCGTGGAATTTTGGCGCGTGAAGGTGGAAACATAAAAGGGTGTCGAGGGACAGTTTAGTTTGAGGGAGGAAGACAATGAGGGAGAAGAGGTGTGGTATGATAAATGAGACGGCTCAGGAGACCGGCTTCTGAGACAGCTATTTTGGTCTAGACCAGCAGATGCATCGGGCATAATAAGGCGAGGCGACTGTTTATCAGTAGAATTATTTACTGGTCTATTGATAAGTCCTGAATGAATATAAGATCGACCCTGAGGTATAATTTTATTCACATGCAATTTAGGTGGCTTTAGGGGTTTATTACGTTTTACGAAAACAGGACCCATATTAGCCTCAGAAAGAAAGCGACGGAGCACTTGTTTCATGGGAACTGGATGTCTTGTTGGAAGAAGTTGGGGCTCATTGGAGTGGGGAAGATCATTTTTGGTAGAAATTAAAGAAATGGGAAGAGGTGGTTGACTGTTTGAGCAAGAGTTCAGTCCCTGTTTGCTACTTTTGATAGAACCTGATTCAGAATGGTCGAGATTACTAGTATGAATGGAATAGGAAGTGTCATCAAGGTCGAATTGCTTTGATGAATGCTGACAGACGGATGTAGCTATAGAATGAGTGTCTAATGGATCATCCGCTCTAGAGGGCGGTGGAGGGCAGGAAAAGGAATCAAGTAAAGGGGATGGGTTAGAGTATTTAACCTCGAAATTGGTTGGCAAATAATTCGCCACATTAGTTAGAGAAAACTTCTCGTGGCCGCAAGAATCACCGCTTGTTTGGGGCTGAAAAAGTTAGAAACACGTTTACAAAAGAGGTAAATTAGAGGTTATTAGGAACTTTTGGTAATGACTGAAAGCATTGATGATTATAGATTATGAGTAAGAAATAAGCACATTCATTTAGTAAATAAGGATTTTCTAAGTCATTTTCGAGGCTATAGATAATTATTTAATAAGAACTTCTACACTAGGCAGCTTAAGGTAATTTAAGGATTGATAGTTTAGCCTTCCTTCAATGAGAAAAGTAGGCTTAATTATGCCGAAGAATTTCACTTAGCCTTGCCTCCAAAAAGATCAGTTCATCCAGAATGGAGTGTAATTTCGATCTCGCCTCAGAATTTGATATCGGGTCGTGAATGTCATGGCGACGTGACTACGTAGTCGATTGCAATGGCCAATATGTTTGCTTAGTCGACGATGTAATTAAAATGTGATTTTGGTAAGGCCTTGAATGCCTCACATCTACCCTATAACCCTTTGTCATCCGTGTCTATTTAGTGTAGTGACAGTCACCAGGATACGAATCTGGATGAGATAACATTTTCAGAGGAAATGATAAGTAAAATAAAAAGGTAT